AGAGGAGGAAGGAACTGCTGTTTTCACTCTGGTGTTACTCCTAACCTTCCTGACACCGCCAGAACATCTGTTGTCAGCCACTTCTGCGATTCTATCACGAGCACCCAGATGAGCACCCAGGCTGGCAGAGAGGGACAAATTCCCCTGAGGCCCCTTCTTCTGAGACTCAGGACTTCATGACCAGAGCCACAGGCCTCCAGGTCTCCTGTGATCCCTGGGCCAGGCTAGCACTGTGGGGAAGGCCAGCTGGCCTATGCTTAAAGGCCTGAGGAGGAACTTCGCCAGCCTAAGTCCCTCTCACTATGAAACCTTTCCTGCCTTTTTAGTGGTAACTGTTTTTGAATATCTTCCCAGGAAAAACATCGCAGAAACTACGTTATTTGTATTATTTAGATCTCAGAAGTCTCCTGTTGCCCTGGCTTCCAAGAGCTGTGTGTGCCTGCCTCGCCCTGCCTAGGTTTCTGCCCTATATTCAGAACTTCTCTGAAGATACAAAGGCCAATAATGCTTAATAAGGATCTTAAGTTCATTTCCTGTGCCTCTTGCTTGCAAATGACTTTAGGCCACAATGTGGATATTCATGTTTATCTATGTCAGAACTTGCAGGGTGGTACCTATGCAAATTACCAGCGCTGAGTTCGTTAGCAACACCAAACCTAATATTATACCAGATGAAGAGGTGATAAATAACATAGACAGATCACCAAGCTTAGGGCCAGGAGATCATCAAAGAGATAAGGACACAGAGGCTTATCTGAGGGCAGACCGAGGCTACAGGATGAGTCATGAGGCACAAGTGAGTGGGACAATTCTAAGGAAATCTTCCCGAATGAGGAAAATAAGGTGAAGGAAACAAGAAAGCACAGGTAAGGGTGGATAGACAGCACTATAATGTGTATTTTGTTGTCCATACAGTTGTAGGTTTGAATTCTTGTGTCTCCACTTAGTGAGTCCTGTGGCCTCTTAAATTCAATCAACCACTTGGAGCCTTTAAAGGATTTGTAAAATAGAATAAATAATATCTACCTCCACAGAGTTATTATAAGAATTACAGATTACATATATATAAATCTAGTATTTGCATCATCTAGCAGGCATCAAATAAATGATGGAAGCCATTAATTTGATTATTTGGCTGTATGCTTTATATTTAATAGCTATAACAGTCTTTGCCAGGACCTGATGACTGAAGTCATTATTTATACACTTACCTTACTTGAGTGAACAATGAATCTTTATTTAGTATTTAAATCTTTTAGTACTTATTTATAATATTTAGTACTTATTTATGTCTTTGATATGTAGAAGTGTGAGCTAGTTGAAAAACACAGTAAGTACTACCCACCCCATGTACATACCATAACATTTATTTTTCTGTGACTATCCATTTTGTTTTAAACTGCCATTGGTTTAAAGATTTGTTACTAAATATAAATATTCTTCACCTCTATCCATACGAGGCTGATCTGGCTACCCTTTTTGTTCTTCTAAGTTTTCTTTTTTTTTTAAGCCAACTTTTTGGTGTTCGAACCATGTTAAGTTACCTTTTTGTCTATTTATACATGTCACATCTTAGATTGATTTTATTCCTAGTTTCTTCCTAGCAAAGACAATGAGCACAGTGAGCATACTTAATAAATGTTACATAATAATAACTATTAAATGTTCTTTAAATCTCAAACAGCTTTTTATCTTTAGCTTCTACTTTGGATAATTATATACTTCCCAAAGTTATTTATAGCTCCCATCAGCAAGAACAGCTGAAAAAAAATGTGTTCATAGTCTCGCCAAAACTATGGTAAAAGTGATTTAAACTCTGAAGATTGTTGCAAGTGTTCAAAATGGCATTCGACATGTGGATGTCTAATTCTATCAATAGAAAAGTCTTCCAAACCCAAATCTCTGTGATGGAAGTGGTTATTGAAAACACTTCTCCTTATCACTATCATCATTCATTTACCCACAACCAAGATCACCCGAAACAGTAACAGGAAACACCTTTACATGCTGGTGTTGTCAGTCCATTTGCATCTGCACTCTTCACCTGCATCATGAGTCATATTCTCCCCTCTATCCTGTGAAGAGCCTGAACCAAGCATATTTAGTCAAGACCACAAGACAGAGCCACAGATAGCCTTAGAAATGGGTAGAACAGAGGACCTCCTCCATAATGTGAATTGGAAATCATGGGGTCAAAAAAATACATACATATGTGCACTACTCTTAGGGCTACTTGGTTTAGCAAATAAAATTAACAACCTTATCCACTTACACGTTCTCCCAAACGCCTAGATATGGTATCAGAAGACTCCCAGATTACTTTCTCACTTACGTCAAGGAAGAAAGTTAGTATAGCAGTTAATTCACTGGACTTGGAGACTGAAGACCCAGGTGTGTTGATCTCAGCTCTTGCTATTAAATACTTAGAACCTATGTGATACAGATAAGTCCATTATGATTTTTACTGGCAAGAGTCTATTACCAAAGGTCCATTTCCAGATTTGGGGGGTACTACTCTCAATGAGCCATGATAGATGCTGGGGAAACAAGGAACAACATTGCTCTGGCCTCAGGAAGCTTAGTAATTAGTAGAAGAAAAAGTGTCATTCAAGAAGAGTGGGGCTAGAAATAAAGATCTATCTGAGAAGTCTTGGGTGGGGGGGTGTCACATCTCTGTCAGATTACATTTCTACATTTCCCTTCAGTGTGCATCTTGTTTTGCTGTGTATTTGTTGCCATGAGAAGCTTTTGGCCCTCAAGAAAGATCAAATAACCCCATTGCTTGGCAACAATAACCTTTATACAGATTAACGTAAAATACATGATGTCTTGTAGTCCATGTTATTCATAGCTTTGTGAGAATATGTGTGTCTTTGGGGAAGTTGTACAAGAAAAACACGTTTTTGTTTTTTTTTTCGCTGTCA